GTCCGGTACGGGGGCGACACTGAGGGTTGCGATCCGTTGCCGGACACGGAAAAAAGGCAAATAAATAAATAAATAAATAAATAAATAAATATACTAAAAGAAGCACAATTGAAAGATAAATTCAATAACTGACTATAGCATAACAGCATTTTTTGTTTAAAATATATTTTCATGGGAACTGCATCAATATATTTGTTTATTATTGGAAGATTAACTTAGAAATGTATTTTTTAAGTGCTTAAAAGCAGAAATTTAGTTAAAATACATTATGCGTTTCACCTTCAAAATCATGTTTACACTTCCTTTTTTGTGAATATGTATTTTTAAAAGTAATGCACAACTTTTTCTTTATCATTATTTTTTTACAAAGGACAGTAAGAGTGACAATTATATGAACTACTGATCATTAGTCACTGTACCAAATTTCGTGACTATTACCCTTAATCTTTACACAAACCCTGAGAGTTAAGTAGCATATCATCTCCATTTTTCAGATGAGAAAAACGAGGCTCAGACTTTAGGTATCCTGCCCAAGGTATACAGCTCATGAGATGTGAAATAAGGTGCTATGGTTTGAATGTTAGTGTGTCCCTTGCAAATTCAGATGTTGAAACCTAATCCCCAAGGTGATGGTATTAGGAAGTAGGGTCTTGGGAAGTGTTTAGGTCATGATGGGGGAGCCTTCACGAATGGGATTAATACCCTCATATGAGACCCCAGAGAGCTGCTTTGTCCCTTCCACCCCATGAGGACACAGAAGGTGCCATCTTTGAACCAGGAAACTAGCCCTTGCCTGATACCAAACCTGCCAGGCCCTTTATCTTGAACTCCCAGCCTCTAGAACTGTGAGAAATAAATTGCTACTGCCTCTACCCCTTCCAGTTATTGATATTTTATTACAAAAGCCTGAACAGGCTAAGACAGCAGGCTTCAAAGCTGGGACTGTCTGACCCCCAGACCTCTGTTCTATTTTTGATTCACTCTGAAGCCCCTGGTACGATGAGGATGTCTCACTCAATAAAGCAGTTCCAGAGACATTTCACCCTGTCTCAGTATCTGTGATAGATGTTATTTCTGAATGTGAGTCCAGAAAACACACAATCAAACTTTACTAAATGAAAATTTCTTCCTTTATGCCTTCAAAATGGCCAGAGTAACCTAAAATCAGAAAAAAAATAATAACGGTGGCTCTGAGAAACCATTATGTATTTTGACATCAATTTTAAATTAGGAAACTCTGTTTTCATAGGAATGGGCTATATGGTCAGAGGAGACTGTATAATTTGTAATTCCATTCTTTACTAGTTGCGTGAGTTTGGCTAAGTTACTTTACTCCCTAATCCTTCACTTTATCTAATTATCTACCTCGCACTGTGAGAATTGAAAAAGATGGTCAATAAGACAATCTCTAAATGCCTCAGTTTTATCATCTGCAAAATGGGGATTAATGCCTACCTGACAGGGCTGTGAAAGCGAGAATCATGCCTTAGTTGTCTGCAACATACACAGGAGTAACAACAACCGTAACCAGAGCCACGTGCACAACACCTTTTATTTCCTACAGATTGTCTGGGGTCACCTCAAATGCACTTCTCCTCAATACCCATGGAAAGTGTGTTCATTGAGCCTGGACCCCTGCTGCTGATCAGAAATACGAAAGTAGACAAAAATGCAAATGGTTTCTACTTTGGGAGACTATATGGTGCAGTTCAGCAGAAGCTAATCAAATTATCACACAAATCAATGTACAATTGCTCCTTTGGCAACATGCTTCAGAAGAGACATTTGGGGAAACAACCTGCTTTATGGGGAAATTATCAGAAATGATGCTCAGCAATTAAGAAAATATGACATTGCTGAGTGAGAAGTGGGGAGGAAAGAAGGTTGAGGATTGTTGCAGAGAGAAGAAACAGCATTATAAATGGAGGGAGCAGCACTTAGGAGAAAGAAAGGAACTTGGGGAGTCCGTGGAGGACCTTGAAGATGGTGGGTATGGTGGAAGCATAGAGAATGAAGGGTGAGATGCATGTGGCAGGAGTGGGCAGGAGTCTGGGGTCTGGACCACAGAGTGTGTTAGAGGAGCTTCAGTCTTATCCTGAGAACAATGGGAGCCATTCAAG